CTAGGGATTAAACTCGGGGTCTTCATATTGAGCTCTATTTTCTGCTCTTTATTCCTTTTTTATAAGGGAGGGTCTTGTTAAATTGCTAAATTGCCCAGGCTGGGCTTGGCTTTGTGATCTCCTGCCTCAGCTGTCCAGAATGGTGTGATTAGTTTACCACCATACCCAGCATAATTTTAAATCTATAAGTGGGTCTCCTTTTTGTCTTGGACCTGAAATCTATAGAAGAAACTGGGTGACTTTTTCTTTTTTGAGATAAGATATCACTACATAGTGTAAGCTGGCTTTGAACTTGCTTATGTAGCGCAGACTGACCTCAGACTGAGATCCTCCTGCCTCAGATGTCCAAGTGCTGGCATTATAGGTGTATGCTACCACATTTCTTTGAAACTGGGTGATTTGTAGTTTCCATAATATGTATTTTTTTTAATGTATTTGGCTGTTGCAGGGTCTCACTACATAGCTCGGACTTGTGGTGATCCTCCTGCTTTCAGCCTCCCTAGTGCTGGGATTACAGGTGTGTGCCACTACACAGGACTCTGGCCAGCTCAGCCCACCCTAGGGGTGTGGCTAGCATGGCATGTGGTGCCAGGGATTGAACCACGGTCCCTGTGCTTGCCTAAGCTTGCCTAAGCAGGTGCTTTAGTCAGCTGAACTATCTCACTGGCACCCTGGTTGTGTACTTTTGTTTATTTGCTTGTCTGTTTGCAGAGCTATAGCTCCAGTACAAAAAGCCCTTTTTTAAAAGGCAGGGTCTCACTATGCAGTTCAGGTGGGCCTGGGACTCACAACAGTCCCCCTGCCTCAGCCTCCCAAGTGCTGTGATTACAGGCGTGCACCACTACACCGAGCTAATTGTGTTCATATATCAACATATATTTCTGTCCTACCAACATTTTGTGTAGATTGACAGATCCAGGTGCTTGGCTTAGCTTAGAAAAACCTTTCTTTTTCTTTTTTTGGTACTGGGGATAGAACTCAGGCCCTTGTACTTGCCAGACAGTGCTTATGTTCCGGAGCTATAGCCCCAGTCCAAAAAACCTTTTTTAAAATTTTTTTGGAGGAACCAGGGATTGAACTCAGGCCCTTGCGCTTGCCAGGGAAGTGCTTATTCCACTGAGCCATCTCCCCAGCTCCAAAGAACCCTTTTTTATTTTATTTTATTTATTTATTTTTTTGGCAGAACCGGGGATTGAACTCAGACCCTTGCGCTTGCCAAGGAAGCGCTTATTCTACTGAGTCATCTCCCCGGCCCCCCCAAATCAAGGCTTTTTTTTTTTTTTTGGTGGAACCGGGGATTGAACTCAGACCCTTGCACTTGCTAGGGCAGCGATTATTCTATTGAGCCATCTCCTCAACCCCCACAACCCTTTTTTAAAAGGCAGGGTCTCACTCTGTAGTTCAGGCTGGCCTTCACCTATGTAGCCCAGGCTGGATTTGAACTCAAAGCTCTCCTCCTGCATTATGATACTGAGTGCTAGGATTATAGTAGACGTGTGCCACCATGCCAGGCTCAGGTTCAGTTTTTTAATATTTATTTATTTTGAGACAGGGTCTTGCCATGCAGTTCAGACTGGCTTTGAGCTCAGTTTGTGGCTCAGGCTGGTCTGCTTTGTTTTGTTTTGTTTTTGCCTTTTTTTTTTTTTTGGAACCAGGGATTGGATTCAGGCCCTTGAGCTTGTCAGGCAAGCACTTATTCTACTGAGCCATCTCTCTGGCCCTCTCAGGCTGGTCTGGGACATGCAACAATCCTCCTGCATCAGCCTCCTCTCCTGAGTGCTGGGATTACAGACATGTGCCATTAACCCCAGCCAGGTTAAATTTTTTGACCAAAAACAAACTTCTTAGATGTCTTGTACTTCCAAGTGTGTCACATCAAGAAGCACTTTTTTTTTTTTTTTTTTTTTTTTTTTTTTTTGTGGAGCTGGGGATTGAACACAGGTCTCTCTCTCTCTCTCTCTCTCTCTCTCTCTCTCTCTCTCTCTTAAATGTATTTGGTACAGGGTCTGCAGGTTCCACAAGGTCTCACTACGTATACTGGACTTGTAGTGATTCTCCTGTTTTCAGCTTCCCTAGTGCTGGGATTACAGGCGTGCATCACCATGCCCATTCTCAATTGCTGTATCAGCACAGCATGCCTGGGATTGAACCTGGCCACGGTGCTCTGCCTAAGCAGGCACTTTAGTCCAGTGAGCTATCTGGCCAGCCCTCAAGAAGCACATTATGTCCAGTTGTCTCACCTTTAGTGATGTTAGGATGTTGGTTCCTTCCTGTGTTGACAGTCTGACCCATTCACATAAAGTCCTCATCAACTTTTCACCAAATAGTTTTAACAATCATTGATAATTGCTTGCATCCATTATGTCATTGCAAGCAAAAAATTTCTGTCCATCCACTTGCATTTTGGGCCTAGTAGCCTAGTGGCCCTTACCGCTCCTGACTTTTGACCATGACCAGTACTGTTTGGCATCTCAGGATTGGCTAAGTACTAATAGCTTAATTTTACTAGTATGGTTGAGTTCGAGAATTTTTTTTTTTTTTTTTTTTGAACTGGGGATTGAACTCAGGCCTTGTCCTTGCCAGGGAAATGCTTATTCCACTGAGTCATCTTCCCAGCCCCAAATTTGAGAGAATTTGATACAAATTCTATAGCTCTGCTATAGTCCTGAACCAATAGTATCACATGAGGAATAATTTTTTTTATTATTTATTCATTTTTGTCTTTTTGAGACAGGGTTTCATTATGCTGTTTAGGTTGGTCTCGAACTCAGTGCTCAGCCTTCTGAGTATTGGGTTTATACATGTACGCTACTACACTCAGCCAAATCCTTTCTTTTTTTTTTTTTTTTTTTTTTTATGGAAGGGTCTACAGGGTGTTCAGGGTTTCATTACTAGATTGGACTCGTAGTGATCAGCCTGTTTACAGCCTCCCAAGAGCTGGGATTACAAGTGCCATGCCACCACACCCAGCCTCACTTGCCTATCAGCATGCCCTGGGGGCTGGGCCGACATGGCAGGCCAGGGGATTGAACCCCCCGGCCCCTGTACCTGCTTGCAAGAGCTTTAATCTGCTGAGCTATTTGGCCAGCCCAAATCCTTTCATTTTGGGGGACAAGGTTTCATATGTAGTGCAGGCTGGCCTTGAACTCACTATGTAGTCCAGGCAGGTTGGCCAAGAACTCGGTGACTTCTACCTCAGTCTCTCAAGTGCTGAGATTACAGATATGTATCACAATTTATAGTGGGATTCTCAAACTTGTGATCCTTGTGTCTCAATCTCCTGAATGCTGGGATTACTACCATGTGCCACCACCTGCCAGAAGTGAAAATTCCTGAGTCGTACTAGGTACTTACCAAATCAGAAATTTATTTTATTTTTTTTAAATTTATTTATTTGTGTGTGTGTGTGTGTGTGTGTGTGGCCAGCTCAGCCCACCGGGGGGAGGGGCTGGCTGGCATGTGGTGCTGGGGATTGAACCGCGGTCCCTGTGCTTTTTTTTTTAATATTATTTTTATTTATTTATTTATTTATTTTTAAACTTTATTATTTATTTATTTATATTGTGTGTGTGGCCAGCTCAGCCCACCAGGGGGCGGGGCTGGCTGGCATGTGGTGCTGGGGGATTGAACCGTGGTCCCTGTGCTTTGCTAAGCTTGTTCTAAGTAGGTGCTTTAGACCACTGAGCCATCTCACCAGCCCCTATTTTTATTTATTACATTTATTTATTGTGTGTGTGTGTGGCCAGCTCAGCCCACCAGGGGGCGGGTCTGGCTGGCATGTGGTGCTGGGGATCGAACCGCGGTCCCTGTGCTTTGCCAAGCTTGTTTCAAGTAGGTGCTTTAGACCACTGAGCCATCTCTCCAGCCCCCAAATCAGAAATTTAGGGTGATGCCTAACAACATGTTTTAACAAGACCTCTAGTAATTTTGATGCCTGCCAAAGTTTGGGCACCTTTAGACTAACACCAGTTGCCTCTAAGATGCCCTCAATCAGCCATTACTTACTGAGGTCCTACCATGTGTGTGGCAATATGCTGGGTGCTGAGCATTATGGCAGCAAAAATCAAGGTCCTATGTCCATAAGGAACTCAAGTTTATTTAGGAAACAGGACATACGATGATGAAAAGGGCATGTGACAGCGGCAGCATGCCACCACAAGAGTCAGACCCGGGAGAACCCAACCAAATTCAGAAAGCAGGCCCGGTTGGCAAAGGTTTTGTAGGTGTCTCCAGCTAGTCCGTACAAGAGATAAAGACTTTTTCCTTGTGGGAAGGAAATGAGAGAGGACTTCTCCCTTCTCCAGAAAGGAGACTGGCATAAGCAAAAGTAGGATTGGAAGGGCCTTGACTCGTTGACATGGCTGCTCTCTTCTCTCTTCTCACAATAGCTGTTCCCGAGGTGCTCTGGCGGTGTTGCTTTCTTTTTTTTTTTTTAATTTATTTTATTTTATGTGTGTGTGTGTGTGTGTGTGTGTGTGTGTGTGTGTGTATGCGCGCGCGCCCAGCTCAGCCCACCAGGGGGTGGGGCAGGCTGGCATGTGGTGCTGGGGGACTGAACCAAGGCCCCTGTGCTCTTGCTAAGCTTATTCTAAGTAGGTGCTTTATACCACTGAGCCATCTCACCAGCCCCCGGTGTTGTTTTCTTGAGAGTTATTCACGGTTATCTTTTTTTTTTTAACGGTTATCTTCTTGCTCGAGCATAAACACACTGTGGAGGCCATCCCGTTCTGGGCACCAGTGGTGGATTACAGGTGTGGTGCCGCGGCACGCTGAGTCCAGGGGGACGTCTGACGAATCTTCTGCTTCTGCCACAGGCATTGTGCTGCAGAACGTGTGCTCCAAGTGTCGGCAGAGCTCTCGCGGGAGAAGTTACCGTACCGCACGCCGCGCAGCTTAGAGCATGGGAGCGCACTGGACCGAGCTGCAAAACCCAGAGTTCCGAGCCTAGTACGAGCGCGGTGGGCGGGGCCGCGCGGCGGAAGCGGAAATATGTCAGAGGCGGAAGTGCGGCCTTACGGGCCAAGATGGCGGCGCCCAGGTGGGAGTAACGAATAGGTTCCTGGGCTTGAGGATTAACTTCAGGTGACTCGGGCAGGGATTCAGGGACGAGAATGTTTGGTGCCTTTGTTATTACCTTCTTGGGGGGTCCTTTATAGCTATAGAGTGGCTGTGGCTTCTTCCAGCGCTGAGATCTCGTGCTTAGCCCTTCATGGGGGGGGTAGCAAAGGCTGAATTGAGGTGATTTCCGGTTGCTGGCACAAGTGATCCAGGACTTAATTAGAAACGTAGGCGTAGTCGTAGGAGCCAGCTTGGGGCGGCTGAATTTGGCTCTAGAGGATAGGCTGCACAGAGGCAATCTGAGAAAGTATTGTGGTTCGTTGTTAGGGATACGTTGCTTGAGGGTTATGCACTAGGAACCAGCTTTATTGTGTCTAAAGGTGTTATCATTGCCACCACAAATTGGTTCTGGGCAAATCTAATCGAACTCAGGACCTGGCACTTGCCAGGCAAGCGCTGTGCCACCGAGCTATATCCCTGACCTGTCATTGCTATCCTTTATTGAGGCCTGTTTATGTTCTAACAGCCACTCTGGTAGGTTCTGTACATACACATTCATTTAAGGCTACAGGACCTGTTATTCACGTTTTACACTTTTGGAAACTGGCCTTAGGTTAACTTAAATGTCTTACCCAATTTGCACAGCTAGTAAGTAGTGGAGCTGGTATTTAATTTCTGGTCTCTTGATTCCAAAACTGATGTCGGCGATCACCTAGATTCTCTTTGCAGTGTGCATGATGACCCACCTCAACATTTAGCCCAGTTTTGTGTGCGTGCACGTGTGTCTATATGTGTGTTTTTGTCTTTTTGAGACAGCGTTTCACCATGCTGTTCAGGCTGGCCTTGAACTCACTTCGTAGCCTATGCTGACCTCACAGCGATTCTTCTGTCTCAGCCTTAGGAGCGCTGGGATTACAGCATTACAGTGCTGGGATTTTTTTTTTGTTTGTTTGTTTTTTAATTGAGATGTAATTCATACACTGTAAAGTTCACCATTTTAGAGCTGGATGTGGTAGCACATGCCTGTAATTGCAGTACTCAGGAGACTGAGGCAGGAGAATTGCTGTGAGTGAGGCCAGTCTTGGCTGCATAGTGAGTTCAAGACCTGTGTGAACTGCAGAGTAAAACCCTGTCTCAAAAAGACAAAAAATAAAAACTTAAAAAAGGATGAAGTTTTTTTGTGTGTGTGGGTTGGGGATCAAACCCTCATGCTTGCCAGGCAGGTGCTTGTGCTGCTGAGCTATATCCCTGGCCCTGCATGAAGTTCTAATACAAGCTACTACCTACATGAACCTTGACAAAATTCTAAAAAAAGTAAAACCAGACACAAAGGACCTTTTAATGTACAATTCTGTTTTTTTGTTTTGTTTTGTTTTTTTGAGACAGGGCATTAACAACCACACCTCTCTTTCCTTTTTATTGGCAAATTACATTTCAGTGTATTAGAATTTTGTTCATCCATTTGTCAGTTGATAAACATTTATATTGCTTCCCCCATTTAGCTATTATGAAAAAGACTGTCTTGAACATTCATGCACATGCCTTTTCTTTTTTCTTTCTTTTTTTTTTCTGGTGGAACTGGGGATTCAACTCAGGCCCTTGTGCTTGCCCTGAGCCATGTCTTCTGCCACTTTTCTTTATTTAAGACAAGGTCTTGCTTTGCAATTCAGGCTGGCCTTGAATTCACTGTGTAGCACAGGCTGGCCCCCTAACTCATGGTGACCCTCCTGACTGCTTCCTGAGAGCTGGAATCTACTGCCATGGGCCAGCACACCTGGCTACGTTTTTTAGTGAACACATTTTCCTTTTACTTGAGTATTTTCCAAATGGTTGGATTGTTGTGTCATACGGTAGCTCTGTGTTTAAATTTTTGAGGGTCAGCCAAATTGTTTCCTGTACCAACTGTGCTATTTTATTTTATTCTTTTTTTTTTTTTAATTTTTTTTTTTTTAACATT